GTCCCGTGGCTGCTAACAGCTAACTGCTAACAGCTAACGTTAACTAGCTCTGCTCCTGCAGATTTCACCACAGATTTGTTGTTCACAAAGTCGCATTATCAGGGAAACAATAGGATGCACAACAATGTTTAACCTCAGGGGAGGAGCACTAGTTTGCACATGCTCAGTGACGATCAGGCAGGATGTACGCATCAGGTAGTGCGTGACACGTGTTGTTGTTCCTGTGTAGCGTAAATGAGCTGATAAATGATATGATAACGTGATATCGGACTCACGTACTCGCCGATACAAGATCCAGCATATTAGACTGTATCTGAGCCATATCTATGGAAACGAGTCTTCTTATAATGGACAAAGCAGGTACCAGTGCTGCAGTACTGGGCCGACGGAGGGTCCAGGTGTCCAAACCTCAGCCCAGTTTTGCATCATCCAGCCTCTAGCAACTCGACGCCTGAGGCAGTCTGTGATTATCATTTACTGTGAGCATGTCATCAGCCATGTGGCTGAGACGTGAGAGGTTCTCCAGACGGAAATCATCAGACAACAAGCTTTAGGGGAAACCAGTAAAGCAGTAAAGTGTGCCGGGCAGGCCGGTGGATTCACTCGTGTGCAGATTAAATTCACTAAAAGAGCTCCAATAAAGTCACCAACAGCCAAATGAAGTCTATAGAAGCCACTTTGGAGAATGACAACACTTCCGATCCTCTATTGTTGGCTGGAACCTGAAGTCATCCTCCACCCACTGAATAGTAATTAGCTACTTTACCTACTCCTCAGCAAGCTCCTCTCTCTTATTTTGTTATAACTAGACATTTTTGATACAGAAAAAATATGTAATAAAAACATTGACTTTGAGGCGAGGGAACTGGAAACATGCCGACTGGTTTCTTAGTTTTAGGACTCATCCCTCCATTGAGGTCCACTCTTTGATCGGTAAACATCGCCCAAAGATGGGAAATTAAAAAGCGCATTTCAAGTAATATTCTGTGAAAAAACCCTTAAAAGTATAAATCTGTTTTTGTGTTATCAACATGACCAGAGACAGAACTTGGTTGAGTAGCGTGACTATTGGTAAAGTAGAGGTGCATGTGACTGAGTTAAAGGCAGCTCGCTGTGTCGGATGCAGCTTGAACCGAGCTTTACTCGAGCGTGAACTGCATTTCCTTAACAAGGTTGTGTTTTATCCTCGCTTGAACCGCTTACCCTCCAGACAAAGGCTGTGTTTGTTGTATCTGTACTCAAGATCAGCTCCACTCATTATTTCATTCACAGAAGGAAGAAGAAGAAAAAAACAAGAGGAAACCGAGCCAGGCAGTGAACTGAAGGTTATGTGAGCCTGGTGCCACAATAAGAGCCTGAGTCCTGTTACCACCGTGGTCACTTCTCTCGGCACAAAAATAAAACACTTCTTTTACCTCTGTGTCTTTAATAACCTTACGGAAGGAATGTTTAATAATAGTGAATGTACACAAACTGCTGTATATATACTGTATGTACAGCTCGGCCCAGAATTATGACGTCAATGCCAAAGGAAAGTCCACTAAGAGCCTGATTGGTGGTGGACACACAAATTAAATGCAACCATGCCTAAACCCAACTGTTGGTGGTTTTGTTGCCTCAACCCAACTGTTGGTGGTTTTGTTGCCTAAACTTAACTGTTGGTGGTTTTGTTGCCTAAACCTAACTGTACCAGCTGAAGGACGTCTTTCCTCATGTTACTTCGGTCCCTGAGGTTAGGTTTGAAACGCAAGTTAAAATGTGTATAATGTCTTGGATTGACATTACCGTTAACGTATATTGCAGTAAGGTTTCACGTTAAATGACAAAACGTCAAAGTGATTTAAAGCCACATTTCACAGTCAATCAGGAATCCCCGTTTCCATCCAATCACTCAGCCTTTGAGCATGTGTGTGTCCCTTCGGTACGAGATGTCAATGCTCCCAATAGTTACAGCAACTAGAGTCTGCAGCGTCTCCAATACACTGCTTTCTCGTTTCTGTGCTGCTCCATCTTCCAAGACACACACACACAATCAATACAGCCGAGTTCTGTAGGAGGACAAGATACGCATCATCAATAATGGAAGTGTGTTATGTGAGGAGTGTGAGGCTCGACTCTCTGCCTCGTGTGTTACTGGCCACCCTGTGACTAATAACCTGCAGATACCCAGCCTCGACCGTTACAAGGAGGCAGGAGAAAACACACACACACACACACACACACACACACACACACACACACACACA